AGTACAGATTAGTAAATAGATAATAGTCACATGTTTAAGAGAAAGGGCATGACAACATACAATACGGGGATATTAGCACAATATCACTAAAGAAAGGAAAGATGCAGAATACACTAGATCACATGCTCTCTAATTTCAAGACCATGGTAGTAAAAACAGCTCGGTACTGGTACAATAACAGACATAGAGACTAATGCAGAGAACTGAGAACTCAGAAAGAACTCCACTCAGCATTAAATGGGGGGGTGGATAACGGTTTCAGCAAATAGTGCTGTTAAAACTAGAGTACCATTTGCAGAAAAATGTAAAAATCCAAACCTAATACCATACACTAACTCAAAATAGACCAAAAACCTAAAAAAGAAACCCCTCAATTTCATTGCTATGAAGTCAGAACTGACTCATAACTGACCCTCTGTAGGTTATTAGAGACTAAAAATCCCACAGGAAGACATGATGCATCCTTCTCCTGTTGTTGGTCACCTGTGACTCATCGCGACCCTACGTATAGTAGCTCCAAACCTTGTCCTGTCCTGAGCCAGTCTCACTAATTCCGACTGTGTCAATCCATCTCACCCAGGGTCTTCCTCTTCTGCGCTGTCCCTCCATCCTTCCAAGCATGATGTCCTCCTCCAAGGACCAGTCCCTCCAGGACACATGCCCAAAGTGAGGCAGAGCTTCAAAATCCTAGCTTCCAAGGGATAACTTGGTTTCACCCCCTCCAAGATAGACCTATGTTTTCTTGGCAGTCCATGGTATGTCCAAGACTCATTCTCCAGCACCACAACCCAAAGGCATCTCTTCTGTCATCCTAAGTCACTGTCCAGCTCTCTGAAGCATAACAAGTAATTGGGAAGACAATGACCTGGATTAGGCCACCTCAGTCTCTAGACTGACACTGTTGCTTTTTAGCACTCTGGAGAGGTCCCTGACAGCAGATTTTCCCAATGCAATTCATCTTTTGATTTCCTGACTGCTGGTCTGAACAGTGGAGCCGAGCAAGCTGTCACTGTTAACAACCTCAATCTCTTCACCATCCATCATGATGCTGCCAATTGGCCCAGTGCTGAGAATCTTTGTCTTCTTGATATT